GGCTCTCTCTCTATGAGTCGGAATGGACTCAACGGCACCCAACAATGACAAATTTAGACCTGAAGAGTAACAGTCCCCACTGGTTAAGCAACCTTTGGGGTATCGTGTTTATTTCCAAACACCATTTTTTCAAACTCTAGTTTGTCCAAAGATAGAGGCCAGAATGATGACTTATATAAAGCTATGTTATAAAAGAAATAATTAGGAACTAGAGAAGAGACACCTTGGAGAGTGAGGTCATTCCAAGAGTTCATTTTGAATTTTACAATGGGTGTTATATAGATAAGGAATTAGTTCATTCTGTTTAGTTTAAACAAACTGAACTAAGAGTATTACCCAGGAGTTATAGGGAAGCAAACTTTGGCTACATGTACAGAAGACTTTTGCGAGAGCACGGGGGCTGGTGTTGAACAGACCTGAATTACATGTCCAGCCCTGCTGCTTCCTAGCTAGGCATCCTTAAACGAAGGACTTAACCTCTAAAAATCTCAAATGTTCTCATCTGTAATATAGGGAAGCTCATGGAGGTACTGCCAATGAAAATACTATAGCAAAATCGAAAAGATCCACATAGCCCCTGGCATATAGTAAGTGCTCAATAAACGGAATTATTACTGGTAATAATAACAATTAGAACCAACCAATAAGGAAAATAATGAATATCTGATGGTGGATACCATCTCAACAGTGGAAATGTTGAAGCACAATTTTAGTCACTTAAAAAACAGAAAACCTACTGTGGGCAACACATATCAGAGAAAGTAGTCACGACTTAGTTTCTGTCTTTATGAGCCAACAATCTAAGGGGGACTAGCAGGAGAGTTAAGGCAAATATATTAAAAAAAAACTGTAACACAAGGACAAATGTTATCAATGTTATAAGAGGCTCAGAAATTAAGAGCATGAGGGCTTATCGTTTTGAGGGAAATATGGAAGGCTTCATGAAAGTGGTAGCACATGAAGAATGGGAAGATTTTCAATGAATAGGATAAGAATGGAAGCAGGGCATTATAGAAGGGACTATTACGAGGAGAGGCTGAAGGCAGGAAAGCATAAGGATATATGCAAATAAGCAGCATAGTTTGAAGGGAATACAATGGCAAACCTACAAGAAAATGAAATTAAGTCTGGGCAGTTACTTGGGTCTTGGAATTAGTTTGTGGAATGGTGGGAAGACAGTACACGTTTTTGAGGAGAGGAGTAACATCGTCAAAACTTTGCTTTTAAAAAAATGAATTTGGCAATGGCATCAAAATTGGCTAAGAGCTGCACAATTCCAAAGGCAGGAAGGCCAGTAAGAAAACAACAACAACATAGTAGTGTGGGTGAAAAATAAGGAGAACCTCAAAAAGGGTAGAAGCAATTGGAATAGAGAAAAAATTGACAATGAGACACATACGAAGAGCAGACTCTGTTGGAGAAGATTTGACAGCAAATGAGAGAGGCGATGGCCTGGGGAGAAGGTGCTATTTCAACTAAGGGAAGGTTTTTTTTTTTTTTTTTAATTTTTGTGTAATTTATTTTATTTTTGTTGTTGTTGTTGAGAATATACACAGCAAAACATACCAATTCAACAATTTCTACGTGTACAATTCAGTGACATTGATTACATTCTTTGAGTTGTGCAACCATTCTCACTCTCCTTTTCCAAGTTGTTCCTCCATTAACATAAACTCACTGCCTCCTAAGGTTCCTGTCTAATCTTTTGAGTTGCTGTTGTCAATTTGATCTCTTAAAGACAGATCTTAAAGGAGCACGATGCTCAAGGCAGACATTCTTTACTAGTTTAGCTAAACTATTCTTTGGTTTTAAGACTTCAGGATTTGTTGTTGTTTTTGGTTTAAGGTTAAAAATTATCTCAGGGCTAATAGTTTTAGGGGTTTATCCAGACTTCATGTCTCTAGGAATTCTGGATTGTTAGGGGAAGGTTTTAGTAGGAGCTTTTCAAGACGAAGACAACGATACTTCTTCTAGGCAGAATAGCACACAGTAGGGCCTCACTAAAATGTTTTCAGTATTAACACGAAGAATTGATTTATAAAGAGAAGAATGGAAGATGGTAATAGAAGAACCAAAGCTTGCGAGAGTCAGTTTGTGAAAGTGAAAGTTGATTGGATAGAGATGGGAGCTGAGAGAGAACTAGCCCAGGGAGGCCTCTGCTTCAATGATGAGAGAAGGCCAGGAGGAAGTAGATCAGGCTTTGGCCAACCATGGTATGTGGGCCAAATCCAGTCTACCGCCTGTTTTTGTGCAGTCCATGAGCTAAGAATTATTTTTACATTTTTCAATGACAAAAAAAAAGAAAAAAAAATCAAAAGAAGAGAATATTTCATGACATGTAAAAATGATGTGAAATTCAAATTTCAATGTCCACAAATAAGGCAACAACTTTTTTTTTTTAAATTTCTGAAGTGACCAGCCTTTACCTGATAGGAGCAGTAATGATGTCTAAAGTACTTTAAAAATGTTACCTAGGTAATTCTCACTACTACCCTATAGGACAAAATTCATTTTCCCATTTTACTGATGAGCAAACTGAAGTTTATGTTTCAGTCAATGTTCTATAGTTCACAAGACGCAGAGTACGAATCTTCACCCATGTCAACCTGCTTTTCCAAACTTCTTGTTTCTCCCTAGGATAAAAGCGCCAGCTCTAAGTGGGACTATGAAATGCGTATAAAAGTGGGCTCAGGAATGTTTTGAATGCTTAGAGGCAATTTTGGAACTGAATCAGAAGGGAATGATTTAAGTAAGCACATTTCTGAGAGATTTATAGGAATTAACTTCCTTAATCTGCAAACTCCTCCATGAGTTTGGCGCAACCATTAACACTCCGATGGTTAAAGAGGCCCTGGGTGGCACAAATGGTTTGTGCTCAATTACTAACCTGAAGGTTGGCGATTTGAACTCACCCAGTGGTGCCACAAAAGAAAAGGCTGGAAATTTGCTTCCGTAAAGATTAAAAACCAAAAACCAAACTCACTGCCATCGAGTCAATTCTGACTCATAATGACCTCATAGGACAGAGTAGAACTGTCCCATAGGGTTTCCAAGGCTATAAATCTTTACAGAAGCAGACAGCCACATCTTTCTTCCACAGAGCGGCTGGTGGGTTCGAACCGCACACCTTCTAGTTAGTAGTCGAGCGCTTAACCACTGCACTGTTACGGCAATAACGTGGATTGGAGCCGCCTGCAGAGATAGCCAATTCTGAGACGGGGTGAGGTGAGCACCAAGAGGTTTATTATATATTTGTATACAGGAAACAGAGGGGAATATGTTCCTCCAAAAACCCGTCTCCCCCACTGGAGATCGGCTGAAGGCTTTTATAGGACAGGATTATGGGTCTTAGAAGTTTGTGTTAGTTCCCCCTTGAGGTAGTCACATCCCAGATGAGTTAATCTTTTTTGGGGGGTTATCTGGCGACATCCTGGTTTTCTTGTCCCAAGATGGGTGCTTTGTTTGGTTTTTCATCCTTAGATCATTATCACATGTTTTCCACCCTCCAAGGAGGAACATCAGTTAATCTTAAACCTTTTGTAGAGACTGGAACCAGAGGGAAAACAAGATCATGAGACAACGTGGTGGTTAGCAATGGGGAGTAATAATAGTGAGCTGGGCCTATGCAGCCTCTGCCAGCACCACTACGACTCCTTCCATAAAGGTTACAGCCAAGAAAACCCTATGGAGCAGCTCTACTCTGTAACAGATGGCATTGCCATAAGTCAGAATTGACTGGACGGCAATGGATTTGCTTTAGTTGGCTCTTGGTTAAGGGGTAGCCTTCTTAAAGACCACTTTTCAGGCAAAGGGCCCAGAGTGTACATACTCTAAAGTTTTGGCCCCTCTGGTGAGTGACACCATTTGGTCTCCAAAGGCCCACCCAACCCTAAGTATCTATGATCTCACGTTCAGACGCATTTTAGGGAAGGATTCCTAGGACTAGGCTTTTACCCCCCATGTCCTATAGTCTCACCCTATAACTCTCCTTTCACATCCCTTATTTTTTCCCATTGGCTTTTGAGACCCTCTAGTGAATTCTTGGAGACCCTGGCACTGTAGTGGTTAAGAACTACGGCTGCTAACTAAAAGGTCGGCAGTTTGAATCCACCAGGTGCTACTTGGAAACCCTATGGGGCAGTTCTGCTCTGTCCTGTAGTGTTGCTAGGAGTCGGAATCGACTCCACAACAGCAGTTTTAGCGAATTCTTGTCAGTTTCCTCCCTGATGGCTTATTCTAAAGAGACTTCCCAATGATAATAAACCAACAGTTAAGGAGTTTGGCTGCTAACCAAAAGGTTGGACGTTTCAGCCCATCCAGAGGCACCTTGAAAGAAAGACCTGGTGATCCACTTCTGAAAAATCAGCCATTGAAAACCGTATGGAACACAGTAGTACTCTGACACACATGGAGTCACCATGTGTTGGAATTCACTCAAGGCAACTGGTCTCTTTCTCTCAATCAGCATTTGAAGGGATGCAGCAGATGAACTTAAAGTTTGAGCAGAAAAACCAAAAAAAAAAAAAAAACCCGTTGCCATCCAGTGGATTTCGACTCACAGTCATAGCGACCCTCTAGGGCAGAGGAGAGCTGACCCACAGGGTTTCCAAGTAGCGACAGCCAAACGCTTCATCACTGCGCCACCAGGGCTCAGAGCAGCACTTTAAGACTTGAAACTTTCCTATAGAAAGCACAGGGGCAGATGAGAATCTTTTATCAAGTATTTCAGCAGCTGTTGATTTCTGAATGGAGTGTGTAGCTTTGTAGCTCCTGTGTTTATTCCTGTATTTACCGCCTTTGGCCCTTAAAGCAGCCACTTGACAGCTGCTGACAAAAGAGGAAATGATTTGAATGCAGTCTTTGTTTTAATGACTTTCTAAACTCAGGAGTTTTAAAACAAGTTTTATCCATGGATTTCCTGCCTTGTTTTACTCCTGCTATTGCTTATAAAACAACTGCGCAGGAGTTAAAGTATCAGTGTAAAGTCCTGTACAAATACTGACTTAGTAACCAGCTCTGCACATAAGACATTGGTGCAGGTTAAATTCCAAGCACGTCTTTTATTTTGCTAGCGATCCGGGGGGGTAGGGCGTGGAAGAGGGAACTGGGAAGGGAAGAAGGGGAAGTTATACCTTCCTTTCTTTGTCTTCCTTAGAAAACCAAGCATGGCGTCTTCCATGAGGAGCTTGTTTACTGACCACAGAAGATATGCTGAATCTTTTCGGAGGTTTCTCAACAATTCCACTGAACACCAGTGCATGCAGGAATTTATGGACAAGAAGCTGCCAGGCATTATAGCAAGGTAACAAAAAGGGACGTTTCTGTCAAAAAGACAAGCCTTAGACTGGTTCTGTGGGCTGGGCGCCGGGATAAGGGCGAGTTACTGATAGCAGCTCGAAGTGCTCGCTGGGCCGGCCCCTCCTCACTCCCCTGCTCGCCTTCTCCTGCAGCTCTATAGTTAGACTTTAGCTTTAAACATTCAAAGGCTCGGATTTGTGCTGCATTTCCAGCAGTGCAGAGATCGGTGTTAACCATTTAAAGGCACAAATCCAAGTTCATTTGGGAGAAGATAAGATACCCATCTTGGAACTCACATTTTTCAGCCCTGCTCCAAATTTTATATTTCAAATCAGTCCCAAATGGAGCCTAGTATTCTTTTCATTAGAATCAAATATAAATGATTGCCAAATACTGTTTGCCTCTGTGGATTCAGTGGGTGCCCCTCCGTTCTCATTATATCAATTTAAATTCATTTTCCTTATCCATTATTATTGTTATCACTCTCAAAAAATTATCGTCTATCCTTTTCAACTTAACGTTAGCAGTGTGGCCGCAAAAAAAGGAGTGTTTTCCCATTATCAGTGAAACTCACTAGTTGCTGTCCTTCTCAGATGCGCTTTTTTTGTGATTAATGTGTTCAATTTGTGCCAGAGCTGATAAGCATTATAAGAGTAACAGATTTCACATGCTAAAGATAATCAAATCGCCTCTCTGGAGGTGGATTGCTGTAACTTACTCTGCTTCAGGAAATAATGATGGAGAGCTGAGAAGAAATGATTGAATATGGATCCAATTTGCAATAGCCAAAGGAACCTGATATTTTATCTTTTTCTGGATGTCATTACTGTAGGCCTGAAATTCTTTTACCAGAGCAGTTCTCCTGCCTGGCCAGAGCAGGCATTGTTGTATGTATGTGGGATTCTAGTTTTGTTTCTATTCTTAATGGTTGAGTTTCTAAATGTTAGCTTTTTTTTTTTTTAAATGGAGTTATATACTATATTGGATGGCGCAAGCGGTTTGCAATAGGCTGCTAACCTAAAGGTTGGTGGTTGGAATCCACTAAGCTGCTCCGCAGAGGAAAAGTCCTGGCCATCTGCTTCAGTAAAGATTACAGCCCCCAAACCCCTATGAAGTAGTTCTGCTCTGTAACATATGGGGCCACCATGAGTCGGGGCCGACTGGAGGGCAGCTAACAACATTAGTAATTAATACATGATAGGATAACAATGCAAAAATCAAAGCAGACAACAAACAGACAACTTATTATCTAGGAACTCATTATAGTTTGGAGCCCTGGTGGCACAGTGGGTAAGAGCTCGGCTGCTAACCAAAAGGTTGGCAGTTTGAATCTACCAGGCGCTCCTTGGAAACCCTATGGGGCAGTTCTACTCTGTCCTATAGGGTCGCTATGAGTTGGAATTGACTAGACGGCAATGGGTAATTATAGTTTACTTTTTTGGCTCTTTTTCTTATTTCTAAAATTAAAGGTATTGAGTTAATTTTTGAGTTCTTTTTCAAACTAGAAGTTGTGTTTAGAGCTGTAGTTTATCCAGAACCTTGGTCTTCTTCAGCCATACAGTTTGGTTTGAAGAGGTACTTTGGATGGATTCAACATAATGAAAGATGACCCCTCCCGTCTCCAAGGTGTATACCATCTTACTTGATATATTGAATGTAAAATTTGTGAAAGACCGAAGAATTTTCCAAGGAATTATCAAATCTTCATTATAATGGTAACATATAATGTAATTAGGAATTATCTGAACTAAGTGTGAGTTATTGAAAAAAACTCATGGTGTCCCCATGTGTTTCAGAGTAGAGCTATGCTCTATAGGATTTTTTTTTCCAATAATATTTTATTGTGTTTTAGATGAAAGTTTACACAGCAAATTAAGTTCCCATTTAACAATTTTTATACAAATTGTTGGTGCCATTGGTTATAATTTTTACAATGTGTCAGCATTCTCATTATTTCCATTCTGTTTGTTCTGTTTCCATTGATCTAGTTTCCCTTCCCCTCCCTACCATCTCATCTTTGCTTTTGGGTAACTATTGACAGTTTGGTCTCATATAGTTAATTGTTTAAGGGAGCACATTACTTATGGGTGATGTTGTTTATTTTATAAGCCAATCTATTATTAGGCTGAGAGGTAACCTACAGAAATAGCTTCAATTCCGAGTTAAAAGGGTATCTTAGGGCGATAGTCTAGGGCGTTCCTTTAGTCTCTGTCGGTCTAGTAGATCTGGCCTTTTTTAGGAATTTGAGTTTTGTTCTATATTTTTCTCCCATTCTATCCGGGACCTTTTGTTGTGCTCCTGGTCAGGACGGTTGGTAGTGGTAGCTGGGCACCATCTAGTTCTGGTCTCAGGTTTGAAGAGGTTGTTCGTGTGGGCTATTAGTCCCGTGGACTATTTTCTTCTTTGAGTCTTTGATTTCTTTCAATCTCTTTTGCTGCATATGAATAGAGGCCAATAGTTGTATCTTAGATGGCCACTCAAAAGCTTTTAAGACCACAGAAGCGACTCATCAAACTCAGATGCAGACTTTGTGAACTATGTTATGCTAGTTGACTAAGTTGTCCCCTGAGACTATGGTCCCAAGCCTTTTGACCCAGTAAACCAATCGCACAGGTTGTTTGGATATGTCTAGGAAGCTTCCATAACTGTGCCCTCTACGTGATCTGTGATATATGTGTATATGTATGCAGCACACACAAATGTGTATATACATATACCTACAGCTACACCTATACATGCATGTGCATTTACTCACATGTACTGTCCTACACACATATATGTATCCAAATCTACATATGTAACCACATACATATTTTTTGGTTGTTTTTAACGTTGTTAGAAATTATATATGTCATAGCATTTACCGAGATTGTCCCTTTTTCTCACGTACTTCTTAGTGTCTTTATTTACCTTGGTCAGGTTGTACTAACTTCACCCATATTTGGGACTGCCTGTCCCATCACCAAAAATAACAAGTGTCTACTATCTAGAAAGTGATTGCCCCTTGCTACCCTTCCCATCCCTGGTAGCCATCAAAGAACTTCGCTATTTGTGTGTATGTCTATTCTTGACTTTTATAATAGTGGGACTGTACAATATTTGTCTTTTTGTGATTGACTTATTTTAGTCAGTATAATGTCCTTCAGATTCATTCGTGTTAAAAGATGTTTCTCGGACTCCTCATTATTCTTTATTGTTGCATAGTATTCCATTGTATGTATGTACCATAATTTGTTTATCCATTCATCCCTTGATGGGCACTTAGGTTGTTTCCATCTTTTTGGTATTGTGAATAATGCTGCAATGAACGTAGGTGTGCATATGTCTATTCGCGTCACTGCTCTTAAATCTCTAGGATATAACCTAGAAGTGGGATCACTGGCTCATAAGATATTTCTATTTCTAGCTTTTTGAGGAAGTGCCATACTGTTTTCCATAGCGGATGTACCATTTTACAATCCCACCAGCAATGTATTAAACAAAGAAACCAAACCCACTGCCGTTGAGTTGATTCCAGCTCATAGTGACCCTATTTCCAAGGAGCATCTGGTGGATTTGAACTGCTGACCTTTATGCTTAGCAGCCATAGCTCTTAACCACTATGCCATCAGGGTTTCCAATAATGTATAAGAGTTTCAATACTCTCCCAACCTCGCCAGCGTATGTTGTTTTCTTTTCTTTATTTTTTGATCTTTGCTATTTTTGCAGGGGTGAGATGGTATCTGATTGTATTTTTGGTTTGTGTCTCTCTAATGACAAATGATTGTGAGCATCTTTTCATGTTATTTGTTGGCTACCTGAATGTCTTCTATGGTGAAATACTTGTTCATGTCCTTTGCCATTTTTTGATTGCATTATCTTTTTGTTGTTGAGTTGTTGCCATTTTTTGATTGAATGTCTTTTTGTTGTTAAGTTATTAAAATTTTCTCTATATTTTAGAGATTACACCCTTATCAGATATGTCATGGCCAAAGATCTTTTGCCAGTGTGTAGGTTCTCTTTTTACTCTTTTGGTGAAGTCTTCTGATGAGCATAAACATTTAATTTTTAGGAGCTCCCAGTTATCTAGTTTATCTTCTGGTGTCTGTGCATCGTTAGTTATAGTTTGTCTATGAGGTTGAGTTGGTTGTGTTATTTAGCTTGCGCGCATCTGTGCAGGACTCTGGCGTCTCAGGGAGGGGGTGGTGGGTGTGACTTGGCTTGTGTACTTTCATTTCTGATGGTGCATCAGGGCACACGCTAATGCAGATGGCAGACAGAGTGATGCTTGCACTGGGCCAGTTTTTGGGGGTGGTGGGGGTGGTGAGGCTCTAGTTTTTATTCTGTGGGTTGACTTTTTGCCTGGTGCCTCCACTGAGAAGCAGTCCCTGCACTAATCTTTAGCTCCCTCCCTTCCTGCATTCACAAGAGGGGGGTGGAGTTCTCACTGTCCCTCTGTTCCTCCCCTTTACTCCCCTGGCAGATGTGCACTCCCTGTCCACACTATCTCCCTCTCTAAGGTTCCAATGGCTCAGTCTGTTTCATTTGCTCTAGAGGCACTTCCCCATGATTCCATGGTTTCAAAACTATACCACTCCTGTGCTTCCCCCCTTCAAGGGTGCTCCATTCCTGGCCATGTCCTGCCCACCTAGTAGTTTCTTTGGGGGTGGGGGAGTGGGGGGATTTGTTTGCACAGAATCTCTGTCATCAGATGTGCTCTTTTTGCAGTTGCTTTCCTGGTTTCTTCAGTCAGGGTTGTTGTTCAATGCCTTCCCAAAATGGCCATGCTGCCCTGCCCAGCAGGCAGGGCACGGTGAATCTGCAAATCTGTTTTCCTGCTGGCCTCATTCTGTCTCTCCTTCCAGTTGGTGCCCAGTCTGTTTCTTGAACTCTCTGTTTTATGTTCTGGAGTCTGAGGTCATTTTTTGTGTCTGTTTTACTTAATTTCTTGAGTCTTTGTTGTCAGAGGGTCATTACAGTACATGTATCTAAGGCGACATATTGACCACTGTCTCGTTCCCTAGG